CCTTGAGATGCAAGAGGAAGAGGGAGAGTGAGGAATAGAGAGGAGGAGGAATGACCTTATATAAAACACCCATGCATGTGGCAGAGTATGTTGTGTCATGTGTGAGAATGTTGAGTTACAGGCAGCGCTGATTGCTCATGTGAGATGAGGCTTGGTCTCACTCAGGAGGCTCAAGCTGCTGCCGTACAACCACACCACCGTCAGGTCTGCTTTTAAGTAACATTACATTCATATAAAGGGTCAACATGGTACTAATCTTTTCTTTGAGTATTACCAACAAATCCCATGAATGGGTTAACCTTTATCCTAACCCAACAATGAATTGTGCTATAGAGCTTCGATGTTCATAAAGGATTAAGACATTGTTGCAAATTCAACAGAGAACCAAATGTTGCTTTTTGAGAAACTACAAAAGTACAGTTTCCAAATGACTTACCATTCAATTCAATTCAATTCAATGAATTTTAAAGATTTGTATCTTATGTCGGAACCAATGGGCTCAAAGCTGCGAGTTGTGCCATGTTAAGGATTTTGTTCTTTTAAATAATATGTATACTAATAAAGAGTCAGAGCATAACTCAGCCAGGTGTGTCTCCCTCCCCCGCCCTAAATAAAGAGTTGAGTCTCACAAAGTGGTTCATCCCAGCTCCCTTGAAGGAATTGATGAATGATTTAAAATTGTAAATGGACTGTACTTAAATAGCGCTTTACCTGGTCTTCTCGACCCCTCAAAGTGCTTTTACACACAACATGTCATTCACCCTTTCACATCTCATTCATACAGAGCAGTGCCATGCCATTGGGTGCAATTTAGGGTTCACTATCTTGCCCAAGGATACATCGACATGTTGACTGCACGGACTGGGATCGAACCCACAACCTTCTTGTTGAAAGACGACCACACTCCTGCGCAGCCACTGTCGCCCTATTTTGTCCTTTTCAGAGCATTTGACCATCTTTTAATCCGGAGTTCTGGTTTCATGGCATGCAACGTCACTGTTTATGTCGAGTCCCATGGCTCTCATCTGTAAAGGGGAGCATTAAGCAGGTAACTAGACTGATATTTAACTCAGGAGTTGTTGAAGGACTACTGTATTTATCCAGTATTTACTCAAAGCCCTTTACATTTAGAAGTCATCAGCATGCTAACATTCACACACACTCACACCGTTGGCTATAGGGAGCAACTTGGGGTTAAGTATCTTACCCAAGGATACATCGACATACACACAGACGGGGGTAATGCGGGGATAATACATCAAACCCACAACCTTCTGATTGAGAGACGACCACTCTACCTTGCAGCCAAAGTGTCAAGGAACTTCAAATTCTTACGAACACTTAGACATTTTAATTTAACTGTTAAAAACAAATAATAGAAAATAACTGAGATGGACTCTCTGCCTCTGTAAACAAGAGACTCAGCTCCAAATGAATAAAAGTAAATGAAATACGCCACTGTTTGATGTACTTTATAAAATGTGTTGGTGCTCTGTTAACAGCTTGTTGTGCTGTCTCCAAGTGGCTAAAAAAAGGGAAACGTTTAAACATTGCATGGATTGCGACAAATGTGTTCACGTCGCTACATTTGTGGGACCACTGAGCACATGTTCAGGTGTTTTGCAGGGCTGTTATCAAGTGAATCCAGTCGGAGTATAATGACAGGTCAATAGAGCTGAGTGCTGATGTTTTATCTTTTGTTTTGATCTCATTCCCTCCCAGGTCCTGGTGGTGCAGAAGTAGCTACCTCTGAACTGGATCCACTTCCTGTCTCCAATTTATCAGCTGCCTTTGCATTGCTCACCCCTCTCTTCATCCGTCCATCACCCCTCCATCTCTGTCTGTGAGTCTGTCAGCCGTCCGCCCGTCTGTCCATGGACTGGCCGTGACCCTGGAGGGAGGGGGACAGAAAAGAGGAACAAGTGGAGTCGCAGAGGAGACGAAGGAAAGAAAAAAGCTGGATTCATTCAGACATCACACTTCTGAAGTGCCCCTGCTTGCTGTCCTTGATCCCCCTCACCCCCCTCCTCCTCCTGTTATGGAGAATTAAAGGAGCAGCGGGAGGCTAGGCCAAAAGTGAGGAGAGAAAAACATAAACCACCAGCGACCCCTCACTGCCCTCAAATGAAATAAAAAATGATTTAGCTGCATCATTATAATCTCACATTTTTAAATAAGAAATCAACCAAACCAAGATTCTGATTGCACATGAACAACCCTCCACCAACCAAAACGAAAGAGGAACTGAGTTGAGGACAGACTACGGAGAGAAAGGAGGACCAAAACAGAGAAGAACCTTACTGACATGTCAACCACTGCCACTATGGGTGAAATGGCAAACAGCGCGGTGGAGTTTTACCCCAAAGGGGCGCGAGGCACTGGCTCAGTAGGAAGGGCAGAAGGCAGCCAAGCAGGGGGAGACTTTGGGGTCACGGTGACGGAGCTCGCGGAGCTGATGGAGCTGCGAGGGACCGATGCCCTGCAGAAGATCCAGGAGAGCTACGGAGACACAGACGGGCTCTGCCAGAGACTGCAGTCCAACACCACAGAAGGTGAGCGGCCATGAAGGGTGGAATGGTTGAAAAAGTAGATTGAAAGAAATATGTAGGAGTAGATGGATGAATGGATGCGAGCCATAGGCGTCTTTTATACTGGGGACGCTGGGGACATGTCCCCTCCACTTTAGGAAATGGCCAATTTTGTCCCCGCCACATTGCATTAGAATAATTTGTTTAAAATGTTCTGAAAATAGAGTGCACAAATAATTGTACACTTTGAGAACACTTTTATTTGCACAAGAGAACATGTCCAATCTGGAGGACTTTTCTCACTCTCTAGGTGTCTTTCTGGTGACCCAAGTGGACACGTTTCATATTAGGAATAAATGAATAGAGAATAGTAAAGCAATTGCTGCTCCCGCTTGGCAGGAGCGTAATTAGTGCACTAGTTTTTTTTTTAAAGTATTGTAAGCCTATGTATGTACAGTATATATGTTTGTCTGGGGGCGGGGGCACTTAATGCAGTAGTGTTTTTTTTTTTTTTTTCAGGAGAAAGTGTTCCTCCATTTTTTCTAACAATGAGACATGAGGGCCCATGTAGGAAAAAAACGGATGGTTGGGTGGATGAGATCCATGAAAGGGTGAATAGATTGCTGGCCTGCTGGATGGAATAGCAGAGTGGATACATGGAGATGGGTTAACAGTGACATGATTAGGCACACTGAGATGAGTGGATGGATGACGTCATAACACTGCATGAGTCCATTTGTTTAAGACATTTAACATTTAACACAATGACAAAACATTTTGATCACACAAATGGAACACGACAGCATTCATTTAGCTTTACTCATGCATTATTCCTACACAGCATTTCCATCAAACAGTACAAACACATTTTATTCAGGGAGTCTAATCCTGGCTGGGATGGACTCCTGGATGGATTAATTGGTGAAGAGGTGATGGGATTATAATGGATGAATGGATGGAAAGTAAATCCACAAATGGATGAGCAGAGTAAAAGTGTACAAGGACTGACTAGAATCTCTAAAAGCACACCTGCAATAACAAGTGATGGTCCAGGTAGAAGTGCAGCCATTTTCATTATTCTTTGAATGAATACAATAATGATGTTAGGGCAATTTAGGATTGAATGGATTCTCGTCCTCACTGTGAGAACAAGGAACCAGCACGCACGCACGCACGCACGCACGCACGCACGCACGCACGCACACACACACACACACACACACCAATGGACAAGAACACTTTGGATATAATTATGCTTGTCAAAGATCTTCAATCCCTAGAATTTGGGTTACTGTCTCTAGTCTGTGTGTGTGTGTGTGTGTGTGTGTGTGTGTGTGTGTGTGTGTGTGTGTGTGTGTGTGCGCGTGCGCGTGCGTGTGCGTGTGTGTGAGATAGATGGAGAAGAAGTGAGAGAGTTGGTGGGTGTTAAGTTACATTAAGTCTGTGTTGAGTGTTGCTAATTCGATACTGTGAGCTGGTCAGGAATCAGTGCAGCAGGTCCCAACAAACCCAGTGCACACTTACACACACATACACACAGATTCATGTTTCTGCAGTTGTCCCTACAAAGCACAGTTGGCAAACAACCACACTAACGCTGCTCTGCATACACTTGGATTGGCTTGTTTGGCACTGTGTCGACTTTCACTAATTACATATTGGTGTCATCTTGCATGGTTAACCGTGTTTCCAAAAAACATGTTCCTACCTGGGCCTGTCACATACTTTTGTTGGGTTATTACCCATAAATAATAGAGATACAACATTATTGTTATGTTAAGACAGTTGTATGGCACTGATTTTATGATAATAGTATTGGATAATAATGAAAGCTTTGTTAGTTCCAGGTTTAATATGTGCAATAAGTTGATTTCAATAAGTTTTGCAATAAACATTGAACCAGTCCGGCCCTCGACTAGTACCCATTTTTAAATGTTGGCTGACTGTGTATTTTAGTTTGAAGATTTTTTTTTTAAATATTGAAGTTAAAAGCATCAATCTGGTGCACTTTGAGAGCAACATGAAGAGATGGAGACATCTCTCAATGCCCATATGAAACAGAACCATAAACATATTTACTTTTTCTTTATGGATATTTTATTAATCACTCCCCTTTTAAACTCTATTCTTGTTTTACTGTCCTATAGTACATTTCATACCTGTTTTTAATTTGTTATCTTATTTTTTAATAACTATAATGATCATATAAAGGTATTCATCGGAAATGCTTGTTTACATAAATGGTGACCAAACAGACCCACTTAGTTAACTTAGACTAAAGAGAACACTGAGAGAGTCCTTTACCTCACTGAGCTGACGTTATAAGATCCTCTCAGTCTGTCTCCACCTTGGTATAGAAACAGCTCTTTATATCCGTTAGCATAGCTAGCTAACCAGATGCTAACAACAACAAAATGCGCTCGTGCCACACACACACAGAGCCGAGTTTGAATGAAACACAGAGACCCAGAAGTAGGCTACTTGTACTGTACTGTACTGTATAGCATATTATTTTCGATGGCTTTTCTGTATAATCAGTATAACAGATGAACAGATCGCCACTGGGCTTTCATCTAAACACACAGCCACGTAATGATAACAAAACAAAGGTCGGGGGTCATTGGTCAAGCAACACACCAATCAGAGAGCAGCAGCGAGCACACCTCAGGCTGTGTTTTATATTTGTATTCTTTATTTCTGATTTATTTCACACAAAAAACATTTAGTGGAATCATTTTCAGATAATTTGATAACAAAACAAAAGAACGGCAAAGTGGCAGGGGTTGCCTGCCCTGCGTTTGGGGGGGCACAGTGACTCGTTTGGGGGGAGGGGCATGGCCCGCGAATGACCCCCCATGAAGCCGACCCTGCTAATTGGAGAGAGATTTATTATTTAGTTTTAAGCCAGATAATACAGATAGAGCCTCTGTCCAACGTTTTTTGTTGTACCCCGCTCTGATTTTAGGCAAGAGCTGCTGCCTCTTAGTATAATTACAATAACACTGATCACAGAGGAGGAACGTGAATTGGCAGATCACAAAGACAGATGTAAAGCATGGGTATATACATGGAAAAATACTCATACTAACATAAATGCGTATTTAGCATCGGTGCTACAAAAATAGATTGCGTACTGTATGACACACACACACACACACACACACACACACACACACACACACACACACACACACAAACACTGGAGTAACGCAAACATTATGATGCAATTGATACTGAGCATCATTTGTAATACAATACACAGAGTGGGGGTTAAACCAATACAGAATGGGATATTTCTCTTTATGCCTCTATCTCTACTTCTCTCTCTCTTTTGATCTCTCTCTCTCTCTCTCTCACACACACACACACACACACACACACACACACACACACACACACACACACACACACATACAAACACACACACCCCCACACACAAACACACAAACACACACTCTCACACACACACACACACACACACACACACACACACACACACACACACACACACACACACACACACACACACACACACACACACACACACACACACACAAACACACACTCACACACTCACACACACACACACACACACACACACACACACACACACAAACACAAAGAGATATGGATACCCCATCGCTGCAGTATGAGACTGCTATATCCAAATTGAAGACACAGAAAAGAGGAGGCGGAGAAACTATGTAAAGGAAAGAGGGAATGAGAGAAAGAAAGTGTGTTTGTATAAGCGTGTGTGTGTGGTGGGGAGGGGTGCCGTGGTGGGGGGGAAGGGTTGTGAGGAGTGAAAGCTAGAACAGCTTGCCGCATTGTCAAGGACACATCAAGGAGAGATTGAGAGGGGGAGAAAAAGAGAGGAGGAGAGCCAACGAGTGAGGATGAGGAGGAAGGGAGGAACAACGGGATGGGTGAGAGATGGAGGGAGGGAGGGAGGATGGACTAATGGAAGCAGGACACAGCTCGCTATGATTACTCAGCATAAGGTCACCTGTTTCTCCCTGTCTCTGAACCCTGTTGAGCATCGTACTGCCACACCAGTGAGGTAGAGCGCTGCGGAGCTGCATGAGTCCCTGCGGAACCTCGGAGCAGGATATCTGTGCACACGCAGGCAGACGGACACACACAGTCACAGATCTCGGCCAACCACAGCATACAAATTGCCATTCCCCCTTCCTAACAGCCAATCAAAAAAAGTAAGCTCTGCTCTAAAGCAAGCACACTGAAGGAATGACATCACCTGTTGCTGGGCAGAAACCTGTTAGAGACAGGAAGCCCTGGACCTGATATCATGGTCACCATGGAAACTGAATTGCTTAGAGCGGAGGTCGAAGGGGGAGAGGATGGAGATGTGAAGAGACCGAGTTTTGAGAGGGGAAGTAAAGTTGGAGTTAGCTGCGTAAAGTGTAACATGTTGTGTGAGTGACTTGTGCCTGTGTGTCCTGGCATTACACTCTTAACTGCTCAACACTCTTTATCTACACCTTTATGGATGACAGTGAGTGAACCCGGGGTATTTAATTGGTCAAGGATTCACTTAAAGTGGACCTATCATGCTATATTTGAACAATATATTGTAGGGCCATACCTATATAAAGTATATAAATACCGTTTTTTTTTAAAAACACTAAAACGATCCTGCATTTTAGCCAAGACTCATTTCGCTCTTTCCAGCGCTGTTTTTGCAGGGGGCTGATTCTGTGAGCTGCAGCTGACCACACCCCCCTGCAGGAGAGGGGAGCGTGCTCTGAGATCAGCTGCTAGGCTGCAGCGGGGAGAATAGGGGGAGAAAAAGAGATCTCCGTCCTCCATGTTTTATTCTTATAGAAGTAAGAAGAGAAGTAATGGGGTAGAAACCCTCCTTTTTACGCAGCGGTCCAGACATAGACATCAAACGGCGACACATATTCAGTTGCCAGTTACTTTGGCATTAGGGCAGGGATATCTAGATACTTTCCAAGGTTTGACATAATTAATTGCTAATATATAATTATAATTATAATTAATTTAAAGCAAGCAACAATATTTTCAAATCTGTAATCAAAAAGCTCCTAAAAAACGCTAT